CTCATCGTCTCTTTAGTAGCAGAAGACTGAACACAGTAGATGGTCAACCATTTTGTCTAATGTACCTGAACATTCGGCACTCATCGTCTCTTTAGTAGCAGTATATTTAGCACTATAAATGATCAACCATTGCGTCTAGCGTACGAGAACATTCGGCACTCATCGTCTCTTTAGTAGCAGAAGACTGAACACAGTAGATGGTCAACCATTGCGTCTAGCGTACTATGTACCAGAGCACTCGACACTCATCACTTCGTTCATTCATGTATCGGAACACTCAGTACTCATCGTCTCTAACTGTAGCAGTACACTAGCTCAGTAGAGATCAAGAAGCAAGTCTACATTGATACAATAACATTTAAAAGGTCATCCAGCAGAGCACAGGGACTGGATAATTGTCTCTACAAACTATACAATACTTGGCTCTCTAGCGCACAGGAACCGGATAAATTTCTCTTCTTACCATACGACACTCGGCTCTCTAGTGCACAGGGAGTGAATAATTGTCTTTACAAACTATACAATACTTGGCTCTCTAGCGCACAGGAACCGGATAAATTTCTCTTCTTGCCATACGACACTCGGCTCTCTAGCGCACAGGGAACGGATAATTTTCGTGTACTTACCGTACAACACTCAGCTCTCTACAAGGTCTTCCAGCAAAATCCAGCTCTCCAGCACGTCATCCTGTGTACCTTTTCTTTGGGTCTGGGTTGAACATTCTAAGGTAACAACAGTGCGCTTTTAAGGTTAGTAAAATCAACAATATTATTTACCTTTTTTTTCTGTTTCCCATCTGATCATCCATCTATTCTTCGCTTTTATTTGTATTGAGTTTTATTTCTAACTTGTTTAAAATATTTCCTTTTTTACTTAAGATGTATCAATTCACTTGTACTGAGCCATAGGTTCTACTGTAGAAATAAACAAAAAGCTTATGAAAAGTCCTTTTACACAACCTATTTTCTACGTGACGTTTGGATGACTACTTATAGTACGATATGTACACTGTCACCTTCATCAGACAAAAATTTATTGGTTGTGTAAAAAGAACTTTTCATAATCAATACTTACCATCCTGAAGAAAATGTTCAGAATTAAACGAAAAGGTTAATTATCAACAATCAACTTTTAGTGATAACATTCCGATAATGTTAACATTTGTTGCTGTTCGAAAAAAAAAATGTGGTAACACTAGTTAGATGGATTGTAAGGTTTTACTTATTTCGCCAATTAACCACAAGCTTGGTAAAAAGCATTGTTGCATTTTTTATTTTGACAATATAAACAAATACAAGCATGTTATCCCAGATGGTTGAATCGCCTATTACACATAATACACACGTGTGGTTATTGTTGCTAAATGCAATGACCTACACAGTCAAACGACTTATACATACGTAGATATAAAACTAACCCAGTACGGTCAAAACACAACTATAAACCGACATACTCAAATGAAGTTTAAGTTTATACTGTTGAATATTTAAAGAAAAAACTAGTGTACATGTAGCACTGCGATACATGTGTTTAGTAAATCGATACCAAACATAAAAACCGTTAAATTATTCATGACGAATACATTACAATTTATGTTTGTGTATATCTACCAAGGCCATCAGGAACCGGACACAAAGCCATGATTCACAAAATACAGAAAAATCTCATTGTGTATCACTGTAAGTTCATTTAATGGTATACAACGAAACTTTTATCAAACCATTGCATTGTTTGTTTTTGTGCTGATACAACGACTGAAAAGAACGTATTTTTCATTCCTTTGTGTACCACGGTACGCTTTTAAGTGGTACACACATATATGAAAAATAAAAACATTTTGTCCGGCTCTTGTCGGCCATAGTTGGTATCACTGATATATATAATGTGTACACAGTGCAGTAGGAGACTAGGGTATTATGCACAAGCCTGATCGTACGCATTGTCATGAACTATCGTTAACTCCGCATTCTAAATAGATCTTGATATGTCAATGACATCACAGGGACCTAAGAAATTGTAACAGCTATACTTGGACCTTAACTAACACAGGGACCTGATAATTTGTTACAGCTATACTTGGACCTTAACTAACACAGGGACCTGATAATTTGTTACAGCTATACTTGGACCTTAACTAACACAGGGACCTGATAATTTGTTACAGCTATACTTGGACCTTAACTAACACAGGGACCTGATAATTTGTTACAGCTATACTTGGACCTTAACTAACACAGGGACCTGATAATTTGTTACAGCTATACTTGGACCTTAACTAACACAGGGACCTGATAATTTGTTACAGCTATACTTGGACCTTAACTAACACAGGGACCTGATAATTTGTTACAGCTATACTTGGACCTTAACTAACACAGGGACCTGATAATTTGTTACAGCTATACTTGGACCTTAACTAATGTGTAATTTTACACGTTTTAGGGGTTTAGATCAACTTATGGTAAAAACGCCACCCTAAATGATGAATTAGTTGAATAGATCAACCCCAACTAACTTTTTTACTTCAAATTAAAAAAACCCACATTTCCAGTTGTTGTAAAAAAAAGCTTAGTACCGCTGGAAAGAAGGACATGTTTTCCTTCAAAATTCCTTCGCTCCTTCCGCAGACATAATTTCCGTTTTCTCCAATAACACACGCCATTTTTCGAGTTTCTTTTCAATATTCATGAGGTTGACGTCAGTCACGTGTCGGAACATGTGTTGTAGATTTGCTGGTTATTTAAGGAGACAATGGCTGCGCTTTCTGGCCAATCACACCACGTGTTTCGGCACGTGGCTGACGTCAAAATATAGCTGTAACTCGGTGATTGCCATCAGTTGAATCCTAAATTAAAGGTCTTACGAAGCAATCTTATCACAGTAACTCAGACACAAAAGTAAAAAAACCTCCTACAGTTATTCTAAACCTATCGGTTCGGGGCTTTTCAACTTCAAGTGTTCAATTATAAGCGGATTCTGAGAATATCGAGAGATATTTTATTAATCCAGCAGGTCACTGTGGTATAATACTCAAATCAAGTCATTCCTCTGCCCCACTGTTATAAATCAAATTCATGATTCACAAGGGAAATTATTTTTACAAATGTATGTTTTGAGTTTGTTTGTTCAACTGGTACTGTATATACATTGGACGATCAGACGATGATTTTGAGAAATATTACATCACAAGGTATTTGCATCGTTTTTGTTATTTTTCACAATGAAATCTATACTGTTATGTGTAAACTATGAAAACAAATTAATGATTATACCCAGAATTGCATACCAACACATTCAAATATCTGTTATTTTACCGAAAGATGGTCTAGGTTGTAACATCATTTCGGAGCATAGCGAAAAGTCTGTCCGACTTGGACACAAAAAAGTCACGATACATGTATATCGTCTTACAAAAAGTAAAACAACATGAAAATACATCATTTAAAAATATCTCATACTCAGTTTTTCATTTAAAGTCCCTTGGTTGGAAACTATAACGGATAGATTATTTATATTTCAAATCCATCACTACCGTATTCGGACCCCAGTCATCTCGTTTCACGGCTTATTCAATCGACTGTATTTTCAACAAATGGCTAATAAATTGCCAATGATTTGACTTACCTGCACATTTGTCCTGTAAAGATTGTCTCCAACATTTTGGATGATTGTGAAAAATAAATATTGTAAAAACATTTTCTTGTCATTACATTATATAATTGTTCGTCAAGCCTGCCAGTTTATTGCAAACAGCTTCGTTTGAGAGCTTTAGTTCAAACTTAGGTCTGCTCTTGGGCAGTCTCAGCTTTTTGGCCTCAGCTTGAGGCGCTGAGCGGAGTTTTTCGTTTGTGATAACGAAATACGGTCGCTGAGGTTGAGATCGTGGAGTTCGGACACAAATCTCAGCTTGACGCGGCCTCAAGTACGTTTGTGAAATTGAAACCGGAAGAATATATAATGAGGATGAAATATTGAGAATTCTGGAGTTCCAAGATGGCGTTATTTTTGTTGAGGTCGCTGCTAGGTTTTTCCAGCATGTAGTTTGTATTCCAATGGAAACAAGCTGTGATTCTCTTCGGGCTGAATTTGTTTACAGTTTGTCAATTAGTAGCCTAAAAGGATGGATTAATTAAGGGTTTATGAAATGAAATAATCAAAAAAAAAAAAAGAAAAAAAAAGAATGGAAGCTGCTAACAAAACCCTTGGTAGGGTATTCAATTTCGCTTTCAGAAATGTAGACTACTTCGATCACTTTATAATAAGCTATACGATTTCTTGTTTCCTATCGTGGACTTTTCTTTTCTTGACAGCAACTTCCCTGCTTTCCCAAGTTGTTAACACGTCGTATTTGATTTCATATTCATGGTCTTGCATCGAACATCACGATTTCTCTAGTAGCTGTAAACATCTGGCACACAAATAACAACTCAAGGTTCGAGAGATGCATTCTGATGGAGATTATGGACAAGTGTTAAGGTTGTCACCAGGATATCGTCGGGAGGGTTAAAAGTTTTACTTTTATTTACAAGTGTGCGTTGATGATAGCTGTCACTGCCATTGTTCCTATTTTAAAAGCGGTAACATTTATTTGACTTATACATTTACATTGCCTGTGTCGTCGATTAAGCAGAAGTCGCTTACCATTGCGTTATACTTGGTTTTATTCTCGTTTTCGTCTCCTATGGTCCTTGTAGAAATATTCCCTTTGTTGATATTTCCCCTTGTTTTATCGATTTTGAGTTCGAATAACGGCTTTTTCAAACTTCAATATTATTTGAATGATTGTTACGTGCATTCTTATTGATGTCATAAATAAGAATGTTATGAATGTTTTAAAAAAAAATAACATGTAATTTCAATTAAACTTCTACTTTTGATGTTTCTGAACTTCCTATATATATATATTTTTTTCACCTTTTAATTTTCGCTATTTCTTATTGATTTTATTTAAGGAGACAATTTTATTTCTTTTATTACAAATTTCTCTTTGTATTTCACAGTCACAACGGCGTGATGAAGCTGCAGCTGGCATTTTATCTCCTCATCCTTTTTGTGCTCCGCTATTTCGCCTACTTCTTTATATGCCAGCTAGAGGAAAGCAAGCACGTGTATACTGAAGAAAAATATGTACCAATGGATGGCAACCCTCGTTATTCAAATCCTACTAGAAACTGCCAGAGTAATCAATCGTTTGTGGACTTTGGGAGCGGAAGTCTGACATGTGAACAAAGGACGAGAGTCGAGCAGTGTATACAAACATACCAGGAGGAATACATACGGGCACTAAAGGAGGAAATTGCGGACAGGGATATTCGCTACACCAGCCACTCCTACCTCGACAGGAATAGCTTCATGATCGAGGCGGGAGGACATCGCGGAAATGACACATATGAATTCAACTCCCGTTATCATCCCGGTTTTTATATTGTATTAGAACCAGTTCCTGTATTTTATGACATATTGGTGAAAAAATTCCAGCAATCACCAAACATAGCGGTCTATAACTTTGGAATCGATGTAAAAGATGGAAATTTTAATATAAGTGAGTCGAGTGACAATGCAGTTTCCATATTTATGACCGACAATCAAAAGGGTAGGAGGATACAAATTGTCAATACTACAAGATTCTTTGAGAAATTGTCTGTGAGGAGTCGGGAAGTGGACCTGATAACGCTGAACTGCGAGGGTTGCGAGTATGCTGTACTGGACCTCCTCCTGTCTACAGACTACATACGTCACTTCCGGAACATTCAGTTCCAGTCTCATAGAATTCCAGGAATATGTTATCCAGTCAGGCGATTCTGCTGGTATCAGGAATTACTTGGAAAAACACATAAACTTATATTTCAGTTCAAGTTTGTGTGGGAGAGTTGGGCAAGAATATGAATGTGCGTTTTCTTTATAAAAGCATACCCGTTTGTTGGGGTCGGTACATAGATTTATAAACCAAAGAAAACAGATTGACCGAGGACGCAGTCCAAGCTGGTATACAATTTACATATAATTTTGTGTTTATAGCTCCATGTAAAACTGGAAAATACAGATGTTGTTTAGTTAAATACTGATTGGATGGGTCGAATTGGTTTTTGATTCCAAAATAAAATATTTATTCAAACACAATGTGAATAAAACAAGCATTTATTTGGACGACGTGTTTCAAATTCATTTTTGTTAACCATCTTTTGAACGATAACAAAAATGCAAAATTTTGAATAGTGATATTGTAAAAGAAATGTTTTCCAATAATTAGATCCATCAAGTTCTCTATTTTGCTCGACTAAGGTCAAATGTCTTTTTTCTTCTGACGAACATAAAAATCCATTAAAATATTCTCCGTTAGTGTTGTTATTTCTTTTAGAGAGTATTCACAGTGTTGATTTCTTTTAGAGAGTATTCACAGTGTTGTTATTTCTTTTAGAGAGTATTCACAGTGTTTCGTCGGCAAGTATAGACCAATGGGTGTTAACGGTATGTTTTAATACTGATTAGGGGAGGGGGAGGATTATCAAAACTGGTTAGATAAATATAAATACTTTTTTCGTAGCAAAAGGCTATATAGATTGCTATAGGTATTTCCCTCTTTTTCTGTAATTATTCACATATTTCGAAATATTTAAGATATACATTCTTTTGACCTTTAGCACCAATGATGCTGTCTACGTGGCCATATGATGCAATTGATGTTTTTGAGTTTTCGAGGATAAGATGGTTCATAAAAGGTTTAAAAAGGTCTTATTTCATATTTCTTTTTCATGGACATATAAATGTTACGAACATGCTGCTCTTACGATTTGTATAACACGCTGAGGAAGTACACACCAGGAGTTGGCCCCGACTGTTTCGGCACGATTCTTACCCTTGCACGATTTCTCACCCTGACACGATTTCTTACCCAGGTGAGAAATTGTGCTAAAATTGCTGAGTTCGCAACACGATTTCTGACCTCTGCAATCGTGTTAGGAGTAGGCATATTGCGCGTTGCCATGAGTACGAACACTGACTTTTATTTTAGAAATTTGAGGTTTAATTCTTTAAAATACTTCTTCTTCTGTACCATTTGAGGGGTTGTTTGTAATAATAATAATTTCCCATGGTTGCTTTATTATCCAGGTGAGCGATTCATGCCCTCTGGACCTCTTGTTTTATTTCATCTCAACATCTTTGACTTACGATAGTATACAGATATATGTAACATACACAGATTTAGTGTATAAGCATGCGTGGTTGTACAGGGGATACACGTATCATAGTAATAGAAGTGTACTGCAGTTACATGTAATACATGTAGTAACTAATGATATTCGATGTTAAGTTTCCGAACATATCCAAATCAGTGCCTATCATTTGCTGAGTCATTTCAATCTGGAACAACTTCTGTTCTGGTTTATGGACCGTAATACAAGTTGTTTAATTGTATATTGGAATCATGATCTTGAAGATGCGAAAAAACGACCAACATCTTCCTCAAATTGGCTGCTGCAGATTGGCTTCAAATATCCCTATGTAAAAGTGTGCAGTGACACTACAAACACTACTGCGATCTGTGTTGATTTTTTTATTTGACAAAAAGTGTGTTAGGTCGGGTCCTGATTGGTCGACATTTAGATATTGACCGATGCTATAGATTTGGTATGTAGATAATTATGTAGGGTTGTCAAAGGTTAACCGGTTGACCGATTACTCGGGCGGTAGACCACGAACCGGTTACCAAAATCCCTAACCGAAAAGTCGGACATTTACTTACCCCTTTTGGGAGACCCATGTTTCCCTTGCTTAGACCTGCGACCAAAATTCGATAGTTTTGTAATTAAAACGGTGTTCTGGGATTACATGTTAGTGTTAATTTTATACTCCAATTCAAATACTGACAGAGATGTCGCCAACACCATACAAAAATCTGAACAGATTTTAAAAGAAACCAGAATACAAAGTTGGGAAATATAAACTTTCTGAGATAGAAGGCGCCTTTACTGTATATACGAGATGTAAAGATATTCTGAAGAGTACACACTTGAATGAGCAAGCATGTCTTAAAACGTTTGTCACGCAAACTTTGATCTAAAAAACAATATTACCCCATAGCATTTCGAGTACAGATAACTGTAATTGAATCCGTCTTACTGCATTCCGACATTCGTTGTCCATGAAATATACTTACTGAGGTTACATGCAGCTATTTACTGTGTTAACCTTGAAATACACGAGTAAACTATCATGCTAGTTGATATATACATGTATGTCTGTGGTGTAAATACGTTTTAGATAGAACATTTTCCAAACATGTAATTCATTTTTTTGATTTTTTTTTTGGATTCAAAATGCATTTGTTGCTATTTATTATTCGACTACCAAATTGACCGATTAATCGGTTACTCGATCGGTAGAAGAGTAACCGGTTTATAAAATAAGACCGGTTTGACAACCCTAGTATTATGGCATTGCGATCATTTTCTGATGCATCACTTGTGACTACTGGGTTAGTTTCGGCACCTTATAGTGTAACGGTTCCTGTAACGAGTAGATATTGTTATACTTTATAATAAAAAAAAGAAATGTATGTACCCTTCCAGAGCAATAATTTCACATCTGCTTTAGTTAGCTCATGTTGTGTCCTTTCTTCTTTTCGCCATAGAAAGTTGTCCTCTGTTATATATGACTTGCATATTATGTTATATACGGCATATCTCGCGCAAATTGTCTTTTGAAAATGTCTATGTTTAGGATATTCAGTGGAATGAAAAGTAAATGAATAATAAATAAATAGATAAATACCGGTACTGCAATCAAAAGAAGAGGTAGCATATGTGTTAATTCTCTCACAATTAAGGTGAACCGGATTGCGTTTGACTGTGTTTGAGAAGGTCCGCGCACATGCATTGTAAGAATCGGGCAACATTATTTTTCTTTCATCGTCTAATGCAAGACTTCTGTTGCGTATTTCAAAAGTAAATGAAAAACAAGATTGATAGTTAAATCAATCAATAACTATTTAGCATGTTGTACATTTAGCTACTGCTCATTTGATATCATGTCAGCTCATCTATTACATGTTCACTTAGGCAAGTTTAAAGACACCACGAACAAAATCCATCCCTAATTGAGATAGAGAGTTGGGTTTAGAAATAGTGCCGGGTGAGAAATCGTGTCATCTTTGCCCATACGTTTTGCACGATTTCTCACCCGGGTGAGAACTCGTACAGGGGTGAGAAATCGTGTTGCGAACGCATCAATTTTAGCACGATTTCTCACCCGGGGTGAGAAATCGTGTCAGGGTGAGAAATTCTGGCGTAACACCTGACGTAAACACATATATATTGGGGGAGTATTACGGCTTTTGTATATGTTGGTATATTTGCCTCTTTGCTTTGTGATAGCGCGGATTTGAAGCAGACTTTATAGTGCTATCTCACTGAAATACCACGCCGAAGGCACCTAGCACAGCATTGCGTCTGTTCACATTATACTGACAACGGGTGAACACCCGAGACGTAGAATTGATAGAATGTGGACTTTTAAGAGTTTTGAAAATAATTTATCAATCTCGAACATCGTGTCACTATTTTTCAGTATACAGTATACACATTCGTCAGAAATATATGCCACATTTATCTCGGCTCAAGGGAATTTAGTCTTAAAGGAAGGTGTTTTTCTGAATATTTTTTTCGAATAAACCTTTATGCTTCCTTGTATTCGTTATATATTACAGTTATATTGAAAGCCCAAAAGAAATTGTTTCACAAGTGGATAATTGTTAAGGACACTTAAAAGGCGAATAAAAAAATGACATTAGTTCGGATTGTCTGGAAAGTTTCCATTTATATCTATTTTCTCTTACAATATTTATTAATTGATAAGCTATCATGTGACTAAATATTATTTAAGGAATGATATTTATTTTTTCAACATTTATGACCTCTTAAATGTTGAAAAAATAAATATCATTCCTTATATTTACATTGACGAATCCTTTCAGTGGATCGATATAACAACGAATAAAACAAATAAACAGGGTTTGTTCCTGCTTATACACGGGTGCAACGCAGTGGCGAGACCAGTGTTTTTTCGCGGGGAAATGTGACACTATCGTGAGAGATCTTAGCAACCGTCAACAACAATAACACAACAAAATGTAGTTCCATATTCAATGTTTATTTGTAGCACAGGACACGTGAATACGTGGATATTTCACAAAGCACAGTTCAATAATATTTTAAGATGTAAGAATTAAGCATCTAGGTCGGTCGTTCCGAGTGAGTAGTTTTTGTAGTGTATTACTACGCAGTGTGATCAGGTTACTATCAGTTCCCGCGTGCTGAGATTCTATGAACACCTGTGTTATGGATTTATGAATGTAATTTTTGTCAATGGGTCTAAGCATACAGAATGTAAATATTTATACATGTCCTTGCAGTCCTCAAACTGAAATTAAAATTATTTAATTACGGATGTTTTATACACAATAATGTTAAAGAAGTGTGATATATATTCGATGACTAATTTATAAACGTCTGTATATTGAGCCTGATATTTTTAGTACATCACATGATAATTTTCTAGGATAGCTATTGGATAACTACCCTTGTTCTATTTGGTATAGTGAGCATCCGCCCTTGACAACGGGAACTATACCTGGAGACGGGCACTACACCTTTTTTTTGGACCGCTGAGACTGCGGGAAAAGTAGCGTGACGCTAAGAGTTGCGCCCCTTCTCCTAGAGGGCGCTGTACATATTCTACTTTCACTTCATTGTTGTCGTCTGCCAAAATTGCTTCGAATTTCGGGACCAGGAATGCCGATTGCTTCGCAGAAGCTCAGCAATGCATAACGACGAAGCAGACGACACCATTTGACGTCGCAGTCCTTAAAGACTTCCTACTGGAAAGGGGAACCGTATGTGACCTAGCGGTGATTCAATCCAGTGAATTGAATATGCACAAAAAGGAGAGATCTACTCAAAAAATTATATTATTGCCATTTATTGTTAATTATTTAAAAATATGTTACTTTTATTGTCAAGTGACAGTCATGCGATATATTAAATCTATTATGACCCTTTCCCTCGGGAACAGTACTCTTATAGTGTTGTCTGGAGAGGTATAGTGCCCTCGCCTTACGGCTCGGGCACTATACCTCACCAGACATCACTATAAGAGAATTCCGTCTTTGCGTATTGCAGAGTTATCTTCTCTTGGGAGCAGGTATTGATTGTTACGTCATTGGTCTGTGTGAGAAAATTCCGTCGTTTTCTCACAAATTGATGACGTTACTCTCACAAACAAGTGACGTAACAATCAATACCTGCTCCCATGAG